GTCCCATTCGCCCGTCATAAAGCCATGCGATTACAACTGTTCTATTCAGTGAGAGTACTCTCCGACGGCAGACGCTACAATGTTTTGTCATTTGCCGAAATTGGCAACAACAGCAATTTACCCACACTTGTTGAAAAATCGAAGGTACCAGAGGTCCAAAGGCCCTCGGGGCACTGGGAGCGGGTCATTGGTGAAGGAGGGATTTACTCATCCTAAAGCTAAAATATCACTTTTCTATCTATTCTCCTCTTTGTTTTATTCAAAAAAAACCATCGGCCACTTTGAATGGGATGACCTAATAGATGGTAGCGGACTGCTAACCCCTACATCCCCATACTCCCTACCAGCAATCTGCTACCTTCATGCCTACCTTGCTGTCCATCCTGGACGCTGCTGGTCTATAGATAGATATATACATACTTTCCTATTCCTGACGCTGACGGACGCTCGAAACGCTATCACAAGAATGCTGAGTTGTGGGCAAAGTCGTGCCCCAGGCGGGAGTCGAACCCGCACCTCACGCTTTCCGGGCGAGTGCGCTATCCGTTACGCCACCAGGGCCGCTTTTACCCTCTCAGCTTAACGGCTTTTATGCCGTAGCCTTACAGCACTCACACGTTTAACTTGGTGAGCCGGTCAGCCGTAATCGTTAGATATCGGCATGGAACCGCAAGGCCGAAGGCTTTACAAGTTTTTGAAGCTGTTTTGTTATGATAACTGCTGTTTAACGCCGCAGTACGCGTTCCGAATGTTATCACAAGAATGCTGAGTTGTGGGCAAAAGTCGTGCCCCAGGCGGGAGTCGAACCCGCACCTCACGCTTTCCGGGCGAGTGCGCTATCGTGCGCACCACATGCGATATCTAACGATTACGGCTGACCGGCTCACCAAGTTAAACGTGTGAGTGCTGTAAGGTTACGGCATAAGCCGTTAAGCTGAGAGGGTAAAAGCGGCCCTGGTGCGTATCGACTCCCGCCTGGGGCACGACTTTTGCCCACAACTCAGCATTCTTGTGATAACATTCGGAACGCGTACTGCGGCGTTAAACAGCAGTTATCATAACAAAACAGCTCGAAACGCTGTTGGTCGCTGGTGGTCGCTAGAGCAAAGTATGAACACAGCTTTACGCCAAAGTAATTTGCTCGGTCGGTCTGCTCGAACTGTTTATCAAACGTGGATGCTAACATATGTAGGCTGTGGGGATTCCGCCTAGCGGTAGTGGATTTGTTTCCCCTAAGGCAACACTGCGCAAACAGGAAATGGAAATAAGTTATAAGTAGTAGCACATTTCCTTCTTATGGTTAGCACCTTCCAGCACTAAATCCCGTTCACGATACAAGCATCCCAAAAAAGAAAAAGAAAATAAAGCAAGTCACGAAACGTTCTAATTGTAGTCAACCGCGCCGTATAACTTCGGCATATAAAATAAAAATGGTGTTTTTGTACAATTTCAAAACTCACAGCACTTTACAAAGTTACCCATTGTGTCGACAAATGACTGCGAGACGCCTCTCCATCCGAAATAGTCTTACAAGCAGCAGTTGTTATAATGAAACTGTATTCAATAACTGGTGAAACCGCCGGCTTCGAAGTGCGATGCCAAATTGGCTAACTGGCTCGTCATGTTATGTGTGTGAGTGATAAACTATCCTGCTATATATAATCCGCTAAGTGTGTGTGTGTGTGTGTGTGTGTGTGTGTGTGTGTGTGTGTGTGTGTGTGTGTGTGTGTGTGTGTGTGTGTGTGTGTGTGTGTGTCTGTATGTGTGTATGGTGTGCCACGAAATTCATAGCGCCGGTCTCAGTGGCAGTGAATTTTGTTACAGGAAAAGATGGAGGGGTGTGACGGGATCACCACTGGTGGGTGATAGGAACTGTTACCAGCTGATAAGATTCCAAAGGGAATGGTCACCCAGTGCATAGTGCGGCTCACGCAGCAGTGGGACATTCGTTCAAGATATGAATTGAAAAGATATTGGTTATGATTTTTTTACCCATTTGTAAGGTACACTGTTACAGTGTAAAATGTAAGGTACACTGTTACAGTGTAAAAAATAGCAAAACGGTAGCCAGAATTGGTGATCGCTGGGAAGGATCTCCTCAAAACACACTAAACAAGTGTATAGTTTGAGAAGCAGATTTGGCCGAAAAATGCGGCAGAAAATCTGCGAATGCAAGTTTTGTCTTTTCAGAAACACAATTTCGCTCCGACATAACGTGCGGTGAGGACATGCACGAAATTGTGTGGGGTCTAGGGCACGGTACCATGGGTACCCGGCGAGGGGATTGTTTGGAGAAATAATTTCATTCGCTTAACTTTGCTGCGGTTTTCACGCGTGTTGTGTGATCTCCCCGTCCTCCCCTCTACGGAAGGTTTTTTGGGAAAAACTCGGAGATGATGGGCAGCATGGGGGAAGGGGAAAGGGTCTATCAGAGGGGGAAACTTCGAGTTGGTCATATTTAGCGAAATTTTTCCCCAAAGACAGGACGTGCCCTGGCGGGGTAAGCGTGGTCATGGAATTCCATGCAGACGAGAGAGCGCAGCCAAGTGTTCGCTCGAAGACCAAATGTTGAATGGTTGGAAAGGTTGGAAAAAGCGCTGCAAAATCGTACGATATCAGGGCTGCGAAGCGGCCTCACGGTTATTTAGACCGTTTTTCACTTTTCTATTTAGCGTGGCATTTGGCACCTATGTAGTAAACGTCATATCCGCCATACTGTCATTTGGTACAATGCCCTTGCAAGCAACCGAACTGGTAATTACGAACCAGGGGAGAGAAATTCGCCAGTAACGTGCACGCGGCGCATACCGACCTACGTCGCTACGGCGGTGAGACGAAGAATTAGAAGCTGACGGGCGCTGCCATCACTGCGACTTGATAGATCAGCTCTCTATGCTACGTTTACACTTTGCGGATGCGTTTGACGCAGTACTGCGGATGCGTTTGACGCGGTACCAGCTCCTTTTTTTCTTTCAGCAAACCACGAGACCTTATCATATCGGAAGTATCACTGGTTCTCCTACAGGTTGTCGCTTACCCTGTTCAACAACTGTGATTAAGGGCTGAAGTGGGCGAAAGCAGCAGCCCTGATACGCCCATCGTCCGCAGCGAACAGGACTGCAAGCGATAAAGCGCACACAATGAACACCCCCTCAATTAAAGACTGTCCCGCGCTAGAGCAGCTCATAGGGTTCCTTCAAGTATTCTGGCCCTTAGTCTTGAGAGTGTCCCGCTTTTGCGGCCCCAGTGCGGCCCTCGCATATAAGTGGCAGTTCTGGCGCCTCTCTAGCTGTCCCGCCCGCGAGAAGTCGAATGCTGCTCCCTCTCGCAGTTCAGTTTTGACACCGTGTTTTTCGTTTTTTTTTTTTGCTAGATGGTTATTAGCACTGGATGACGAGAAGAAACGATTAGTGGTCCACAGGCGGCAGGATATCGCTTTGATGACATAAAACGAGCAGGTTCGGAGAGAGGTATGTGGCAAGGGAATCGGAATTCGCCGCGCCAGTGGGCGTCGTGTGCGACGTCGGGTGTGTGTCAGGACTCACCGCCGCGCTCGAAACTAGGTCGCCGCGCTGGGAAGTGGGTCACCGCGCGCGGCGATTACATGCTTTAACATGTTTGCATGTTTGAACATGTTTACCTGTTTGGACATGTTCTTGGCAGATGGAAGATGAGGAAAAGAAAGAACGCTCCAAGCAAACTGCGATAGGGTCATATCGATCGGAAGTTGGCAAAATGCCAGGTCAGGACTCACCGCCGCGCGCGGTGACCTAGTTTCGAGCGCAGCGGTGACTCCTGGCCGTCTCCCGCGACGTTGCGCCCGCTAACGACGACGATCCCAGGTAGTACTGGCTGAAAACAGACCATGTATGACCAAAAATAACATAAATGTCTACCATACTTAGTCCTTGTCTAAATGAAATCCGATGCTACAAGGGGTCGTGCAAGTTAAGGAGACGTCGCGTCCATTGCCGCGCGCGATGGAGCGCAGCTTACGGCTCTCTTGCCCGTCTCCCTGCCGGAGCACTCGTCCAGTGAAGCTGCCGCGGTCTCTACTTGGAGTTCTCCACAATTCTTTTGCTTTTTTCGTCCCTTGGAAGAGTCACTTAGCGACTGAGCTTGGTAGCTGAACGCCACTACTCACAATATGCAAGCATGTAGTTTGTCTTGAGGATAACATAGCCTCCAATTTAAGGTCCTGTGATAAAACCAGCAATGTAAAGAACTTCCAAGTGAAACTGATCGGAAGTGCTTGTCCCAAAGCAAGGAATATAGATGCAGCACAATATTAGCGGAGTGTTGCTACAATACTATCCAGGAATGATGTTCGTTCCATCTGGAGAAGGAACACACTAAACTGTGAAAAGGTGCTTCACACAAAACTAGGGGAAATTTCGCTAGCAAAGGAACAGGCAGTAACTCAGTAATATTGCTCAGGTGGCAAGGCAGACCGTGAATGCCAAAGGAATGCACCCTTGCGACGGTCATCTCTGGAAAACGCTATTTTTCAGTGATATTCGACTGGATCCGATGGGTACCACGACATTGACGAGAAGTATCGACTGAAACCCCCTAGCCATTCCAAAGAGGTTATGGACAAGGTTCCAGGATGCCAGGATACTCGGATAATTGTGAGGCCACGATAAAAAACGCGCTGCATTGATCTAGGCGAGTGAGAGCGCAGAGATTCGTGGCCGGCGAGAGCAGATGGTGAGGGAGTGCGCGACACGATGGAGAGTGCAGAGAAGGACCGGCGGCAGAGAACAAGAGGAAGGCCTGGCGCTCAGTCAACCACCATCTCGCCTCGGCCATCCCAACCTACTCTCCTCCTGTGAGCATTTCTCCTTGTGTGTTCATTAGATCGGCTTTGATAACGTGTGAGATCAACTATCGTTCTATCGTCCACTTATTCGGCCGATCTATTTCTCGTCTCGCATTGTGAATGTCTCACTCTAGGCGCTACATCATCACGGCATGATAGCTCGTCTATCGTGTCTTTCCTGCTTTGACCGCCAGGAGTCTTCTCAGAAGGAAGTAGTAGCAGCTGAAGAAGTCATCATGCCTGACATCGTGCAAAATGGCAAGGTGCCACCAGCGCCGCCGCCACCACCACCACCGGAGAAGCCACGACGAGCCGATGGCCGGCGACGTGCCATGAAAAAAGTCGACGAACTACATCCGGCTGTGGAACCACCCACTGGGTTAGTCTAACAGATTTTCTCAACTTTTTCTTTCTTGCAAACAAGTCTCTCGTTAATCTTATGGAAAGTAACATCTTTGATACAACTGAAATGTTTTAAGCGTTTAAGCGTTTAAATGTTTTAAGTGTTTAAGCGTTCCATTAAATACATCAAGCTGTGAAAATACCGTAAGATAGTAATGCACCGCGCAGCAGTATAATCAGCAGATTAACTTTTCAACGCAAGGCATTGCACTTGGAGCGTATGGTGCACTTTTATAGTGTGTTTTGAAACTAGTAGGAATTTTGAGTACTATTCAACTTTTACTACACCCAAAACTGGGAAAAAAATTTGCTGAGACTTTGCCTATATGGGTTATTCGGTGCCCTGGTCGCAAGTATGACATTATTCTTTGGCTATGGCGCCATTTCGCGCACTAGGCACCAATTTGGCGCCATCACTTTTCTCACCAGAATGTACCGAAGTTATTCGATGCTCTGATCAGGAGCATGACACTCACTTTTAGTACTGACGCCATTTGGCGATATCAGGCGTCAATTCGACACCACACCGAAAGCGATGAAAACTTGCATAAGGGTTTGTGATGCACGGATCACGGATGCGGAATCCATTTTTCGGTGTAGTGCTGTGCTAAGGCTGAGCCTGGGAGAGGGAGTGATTTTTTGGGAGTGGCCACTCAGCCTTAACGCAGGTGGTCGTAGTGTCCTCCGTTAGCGACGGCGCTAAGAATGAATGTCATGTCCGTAATCCAGATGTCAAAAGAACCCCCACAAACAAGTTTATAACGATTCAGGTTCAAGGCCAAGTGGGCGTGACATTTGTATTCAGGAGGGCGACCTACCCTGGAAACAAATTTTCAGCCAAATTGCCCTCGTGATAAAGTCGGTCAAAAAATGGCCTGCTTTTGATAGACTGGTATATCCTATCGTACTGTATATGATCCGCTAAGTTTGTCTGTTCGTGTGTATGTATATATGTATGTATGTATGTATGTGTGTCTGTATGCGTGTTTGAAATTCATAACTTCCCTCAAAACAGGGCGCTCAAACTGATAAGTGATGTAGGGGGTCGGGCAGGAACACTATTGGTAGGTGGCAGGAACTGATAAGAGCTGATAAGATACCACAAGGGGTCTTAGAAGGGAGGGTCACCAAATTCATAGCGCGGGCCGCAGCAACGATGAGACGTCGGTAGTAAGATAGGGGGCAGGATGGGAACATTATTGGAGGGTGGCAGGGAGTTATAACAGCTGATAATACCATAGCTACCACTCCAGAGAGGGGCCACAGTATTCAATGTACGAGTTGTAGCAACACTGGAGAACTTCTTTCAGTAAGCAATTCAGAGGTGGTTAGGGAACATTGGTGGTGGGAGATAAGTTGTGATATAGTGTACGACAAGGGTCAGTATCTGTTCGCAGCTTTACTCCGCTTGCGAGTGATGTTGACCACCGTGGAATCAATGGACAAAGGCTCAATGAGCAAAGTTGTTCCTATCCTTTAGTGTTATAGTTGGAACTGATTGGACCGCTAAACTCCTGAGTTTAGACGAAAAGTAAAACCCTAAAGTTGCTTGCCAGTAGGGAATGAAATGAGCCGCACAGACGGATATCATTTCGATATTGTTGCCATCGATCAATCGCTAAGCTGTTCTATTCCCAACGAATGGTCTGTATTTTTAGAAATGTGATAAGCACCAGACATTGGACTAATGCTCATTAAAGAGGAGAAATATGATGAAATGGGCCGAATTTCGAAACATGGGAATAGGCCAAGTGTTAGGGGTCAGCACAGAAATCCTTTCAGTGATCAAGACCAGACTGAACCATGCGCACAGAAGTGCGCATCAGCCAAGCTGGTGTAGTAATAGTTGAGAGAATTCTGTTAGTGGCTATTCGAAGTTACTTTCCCCACATTTTTTTGTTGGGATCATGTACGAAGTTCAAAACTAGCACTCATTTGACGCTCGTAGAAAGCGTACATATCATGTCTGTATGGAAGTAGTCCTATTTGGAAGAACTCGATGGAACAAGAAATATGGTTGGGTGAAAATGTCTGTTGAGCTAGTGTAGTTAGGGGGGACCACTCGCCAGCGCTTTCATATCCTTTCCCTAGTCAATGCTTACGCTTAGTGGCCTTTGCGGGGCTGTCGTTTGACGGCTCATGCCGTCTGCGCTCTATGCCGAAGCCTTCTTGGGAAGGAATACAGAAGCACGGTCAAGTTCCCCTTCCCCCCCCCCCCATCCACGTCAGCGCTATATCTTCAAGCTCTTCGGGTCTAGCACAATCCCTTTCAATGACAAGTATGATGAGAACATGTTCGTGTGAGCCTAACGTTTCTCTTTTAATGAGGCAGTTTTATTATGACCATTTACTTTTGTGCCCAACGATTGATAGGCGCGTGCAGTATCGTGTCATTTTTCGTTTTATCGATCTTGGGGAGACGTTAGAACGTTTCCTTGGTTTCTTTTGTCGAGTATTGACTAACCTTTCTTTAATTACTTCAAGTTGAGTGGCGCAGTTTGGCGACGGGGGCATTTCTCACTTTTGCTGCTTCATCAGTTCCAGTTTACAAATCTCACGCTGGTGGAACCTGCGAACTCTTGTGAAGTTGAAGAGACCTCGTCAAGCCTTTCACTACTTCATTACTTTACAGAGTTGACAGGCGGTCTGTACAAGCGTTGGCTGGTATCATTTCGTTGTGCCACAAGATTTCACAGGTCTTCACTTGACGGCTCTACACGTCGATGGGAATTAACGAAAGTGCAACATCCCCCCCCCCCTCCGCCGAACTGCGCCGTAAACTTCTTTACTAAGTAATTTGAACCAGCCAAGAAAATTCGTCTTTCGGCAAGTTGAGTTGAGTATCGATTTCGCTTGGAGCCTCAGGGGTTCAGAGTACTGCATATTGTTAAAGTAGCAGCAGTAGTAATGAACAACAAATAATGAACAATTGTAATGCACATGAGTAGTTGCTGTGTAACTTTTCAGTACTCACAGTAGCAGCAGAACTAGCACAAGTTCGTCTAGTACTTGCAGTGATTCAACATTTCATACTGACAGCTCATCAATTTTCATTCTAGCCTCAAACGTCTTGGGCTGTGACAAACCGTTATATCTTTCGACTAACCATTGTTGTTTTGCCTTATTGAATATCCTGAGACATTTGGATTAGAGAATATTCGCTTTCACTTGGAAAATGTCATGGCGTTTTCGCATTAGAGGGGTGGGGAAGGGGAGAGGGTGGGCATTCTGCAAGTTCGCTGGTTTCTTTAACCTAGACTTGTGAAATCTTGTCAACTTGCAAAGTGGTAGGAACTTCATTGCTTATATTAGCTGTGTAGGGGTTCACATGTGCTCGCAAGGTGGGCTGCTTAAGCTGAAATACTTCTCTGCAGTCTCACAATAGCTTACAGGTCTCTTAGTCGATGGGGATTAGCGAGATGCCCCCTCCCCTCACTATAACAAGGATGACGGTAGCGGTGGCATGTCCTGGGACACTAGGTTTAGAGAAGATTAGTTGTTCGAGAAAATCCCAGCGTTTCAAAGATGCTTCTAACTATTTTGTCTACTTCGTTGATCCTATCCTGCTATATATTTGGTCACCGTAATCAAACAATTGGCGACATGTAGATAGATGACAGGAAAGCAAAGGAGATATAGCTGTGGTCTTCTTTATTGTTTGGAAGCTGTACATTCAACTCTTCATTCTTGTAATCTGGCCTGTTAACCGCGGAAGAAAACTTGAGAAACTGGAAGGAAACCCGAGTGGTCAAATTAGCGCCGGATTACTAAATAGGGCGCTATAGATAAAGTGCACTGCTCAGATTAATCCTGCGCTGGCTCAATGAATGTAGGATGGTTTTCTCACAACGGAATATAGAAGAATCAATGCTAATGTTCAGAAAAGGAAGAACGGACAAGTTGTGACCGAGGAGGGCCCACAATGTTTATCATGCGCTATAAACGTGTGGATGAATTCAAGCGTCGAATGCCTTGTTACAGAGATGGATCACTTTCGAAGTTTCTACGAGACCAACATTCCTGCTGCAACTTTGGCTAAGTCGCGCTAGGAGAATTGGGGATGAACTAGCGAGTGTGTTTCGGTGCTTTTCTTGCAGAAACACGAACGGAGCATCGAATCGATGCCTGTCGCAGCAGTGTTCTCCGTCCAGGATGTCATTTACGACTATAAAAATGCACGTCGGCCCTGGATACGCCATGGGTGGTCCCTACTCCGAACTGAATGCAAGCGTCCACTTCAAATGAATGTTGACGAGGAGCTGCCCGAATTGTATGAGGGGTTTCCTTGGCCCAAGCCCATAGTAGTGGTGGTAATTAATGCTCTGTACGGCTCATCCAAGAGGCACTGTTGTGTTGGTATATATACTGCTCCTATGATCAGGTTCGAGAAAATTATTGTATCACCTGATACAAGAAGTTTACAAATGCCAGACCCTTGCTAATTGGGTTAATGTGCAATACTCGACTGAGAAAGAAAGCTGAAAACTGGGCGTTCAGCATGTTCTTCCTACATACAGCTGCACGATCTCAACCTCCTGGTCATCAAAATCAACACTTTGTCGCAGCGGACAGGTCACTAACCACTTTAAAGGTGAAATAGAGAATCCAGTAGTAATGATGGGTCGTCGTCATTGACCATGCTCTTTCCTGCGAAGGCAGTGTCTATACCTTCGCTGAAGTCTTGGAAGGTTATGACAAGGCGCTGAAAAATATTCCTGCGGGACCCATCTAATCACTGAAAGTTCACTCTTTGGTCCCTTGCAAACCGTTGCGAAACTGAATAGGAGTTTAGCGGTGATAAATGGTATGCATATTGCTTTACCATTTGACGCCATCCTTCGAAGTTCGGTCAAACCCGACTAATTCCCAGGCTCAGAACTTTAAAGGCGCGTGGACTATGGCAAGGGAGGGAGACGACGCTCTATCTTTCTGCAATTTCTTAATGATTAGTTCGATCCTCTTAGTACGTATCTCATCTGCTGGAAAA